CCGCCGGCCGCCGACTGTTGCTGCCGACTCCAGCTCCAGCTCCCAGCTCAGGCCTCCATTAATGGCTGTTTATTACCCCTAATCCACGTGAGGATCAGCCCGGAGATGGGAGCCTTCCTGGGAGAACCACGGGATGATGAGGGGGAGGGCGGGAGGCAGAGGCGGAAACCATCCTCTCGCCCTCTCGTCTGCATTTCCATTTTTCTCGGTCCTCTTGCCGTACTGGCAGCACATGCAGCGCCCTTCTCACTCCGGGACCCGTTAGAGACAGCGAAGCCGTCCTCCAAGGGTTTCACTGTGAGCCACGTGGAGGGAGAAGTAGCCCGGGCGGAATCGGGTGAGAGCGCTGGCTAGTGCACTACGAGCCGAGCGAGCTCCCCCGGCCACAAGCGCTGCCGCTCAGCTCTTTAAACGCAGCCTGGGGGCCGCCGGGAAACCAGAACCCGAGCCAGCATTTGGCGAGTCCCCGGCCTGCCTCGCGGGAGGCCCGCGGGCCGCACCCCAGTCTGCCTGACTCCACGCACCCTTCTGGGCAGACTGGCGGCTCTGCCTTTGTCTGATTGAGGGTCACCCTCCTATGCCACGTGCTGCCAGGTGACTAAGGAGACACTCTCCCCTGTTCTAACCCTCGCAGACTCTAAATGTCTACTGAAGGCAAGAGGAGCAAACAGGCTGCTCTCCGAGGGAAATGTTTCTGAACGGCAGCGAGTTATTTCTGCCAGCCCCTGACGAGCAGATGCGGCCAGTGCTGTCGACGTCATCCCTCCCCAGGGCGGCCGCGGTTGCCACGGAGCCTCTTTTCTGTGTCACAGGAATTCGAAGCCACACCGGTGAGCGGCACAGTAACAGGCAGGCAGGAGGCAGCATCCGTGGCTGGGGGTGAGCGTGTCCTATAGTGCGCGAGGACAGGAGGGAAGGCAGACCGCTCCCCATGTGCGAATGCCAGCCGCGAGGCGCCCCGGCACGACGCCTTCCTGTCGGGCCTCTCGTCCCACACAGGCCGCCTTTACTTCACACGGCAGGCCGTTGCCCCACTTGGCAGATAAGAAAACCGAGAGGAAATGTGACTGCCGGCCTCGTGGGAAGGATATCGGGTGAGGGAGCCAAGGGCTGGCCCCTTCCACGGGGCCCCCGGCAGCCGTTGAATGGAGTGAATGAGACGTGAAGCAGGCCCTGGATTGGTGGTGGTCGGGTGTCCGCACCGCGCTGCCTGCTGTGCGGGTGGTAAAGATGAGGGTCCGGAGGGTGGAGGGCAGGCGGGAAGGAGGAAGAGCTCAGAGACCCAGGAGCTGGGCAGGACGGGGCAGGGCCGCCCACGAGGAGCCAGAAGGGCCGCCGGGGGGCTGCGGTGCTTGCTTGGAGGAAGCCTGGCCGGCTTCCAGCCCGCTGGGCTGGCGGAGGGGCCCCCTGCCTGGACGTGGCCGCCCGGGGCCCCCCTGGGGCCCTCCGCTCCACTCTCTGGAGGAGGGGCTGTATGTTTAGCAGAAGCCAGCAACACAGCCAGCACCAGCAGGGAGCCGAGTACCGCGCAGGGACATGTCACTGCTCGCCTGGGGTAGCCAGCCCCCTCGGGGCTCCTTGGGGTGGGGGACACACAACCCACAACCCTCCAGTCTAAGGAATAACAACCACCAAGAGACACTCAAGGCTGCCCCACCGAGCAGTCTGCAACTTGCACGGAATGACCGGGGACACAGACGAGCTCACCTCGGAGATCGTCTTTGGGTGGTTTCTTCCTAGTCCCCCAGTTTGGTCCAGTGGCACTGAGAGAAAACACCGAGGCCTCCTGCTGCTGCTCTGCTGAGCTCCCCTGCCACTGGCCCCACCGGGGCCCCCCGTGCCCTCGTGCCCAGGGGTGCCTGAGAGACCGAGCAGCCCCTCCGACCCGGGATGGGGGATGGGACCCAGACCCCGCCCAGCCTGCCCTGCAGGGAGCGGAGCAGTGAGGAGTGGGGGGTTCGAAGCCGCGGCTCGCCCCGCCCCGCCCCTCCGGGCAGCACTGAGGGGAAGCGACGCAGGGAGCCCCGGCACCCTCTGATACACTGCCAACTTGCCGCCATCAATCAGAATCCTATACTCTGCTCTACAGTCAACATTAATTTGAAAAGAAAATACCGTGCTACAAACTTGCAGCCTGAAATGAATTATTTTACAGCCAGGCAGAGAGCAGGTTTCTGGGTGTAGCCTTGGATGGTTCTTTGTTTCTTTCCTCTTCTTCCTTTTTTTCCGCTATTATTATTATGTTTTAACAAACTTTATAGCCCATTTTATTTGTTCTCAAATAAGTTTTTCTCCTTCTTTTCGACACATCAATTACTTGGTCTGTTTCCCTCTCTGTGTGATGTTGGAATCAAGAGATTGATACTGCTCAGCGGGATATAATTTAGCATTATGTGCCGTGGGTTTATGAGGTAGGAGTCAAGCAAAACATTGTATTTGAACACTATCCATTTATTAGCTCTAAGAAGAGATTTATATTTGACAAGGAGACAATAACTTTGTTTTCTGATAAGCCAAAGAGGTCTATTTCTGTGTCCAATACACAGAGTAGCTTACCCTTCCCAATAATTCTATTTACTAGTGTGAATATATTTTAATAATAAAATTGATATATATGCAAATTTATTTTAATCTCATTTCATCGAGCCCTCCTGAAAAAAAGAGCCTTCCTAGTGGTTTTCACATCTGAATTATAGATTTCGGCGGCGGCGTCCCTGGTTGACTTCCGGGCGGTAATTCTGTCCGGACCCCCCCGGGGACACGCCGGCAGCCCCCGGCCCCAGCGCTGTGCGACGCGCCGCGCCAGCCAGCGGGGCGCGGGCTCCCGTGTGAGTAGCTCTCTCTTCCCTGGCCTCTACCTGGGCTTGAAGGTTTATGACTAAAATGACTTTCTGATTTAATCATAAAAATGTTTAACTGAAAGCAGAGCTGGGAAATGGAATCAGCCGAGGTGCAGGGGGAGGAGGGAGACGTGCCCTCACCCTCAGTGAGGGAGGGAAGACCAGACCGCGCGTGCTCGAGTCTTCGTTGTAAACAAACATCTCTTCCCTGCTTGTTCTCTGCCCGAGGGCCAAATAAATTAAATTGGCATTATTTACTAAGTCTTTAGGAACTGCTGTGGACTCCGCGGCGAGGAGGGAGGTATGGGCTTGCGGGCCTGCCCTGAATCGAAGCATTCTAGACTCTTCCTCCGTGTTTGCCGTGGAACAAACACCGCTGGCCTGGCAGCCCTGGCACCGTGCAGACGGGCAGCACCGAAATGGGCGGCTTTACCCCTGGGCCCGGACACGTGGGCGCTGGCGGGCCCCCCACGCGGCGGAGACCCCCCAGCCTTGTTGCGGTTACCACACCAGAGGTGCGGTTACTACCGCAGCCCCAGAACGCGATGTGCCAACCGGTGCTATTTAGAGACAAACAACAGGCCTGTTCAAAGAGGCATGATTTGCAAAATAGTAACATCTCCACTTCGGGACTCAGGATAGAGACGTCACCAAAAAAGGGTCCTAAAAGAAAGAAATAGAGAGAGAGAGGGAGAGATGGGCAGACAATGAATACCCTTTGGAAGAAGAGTTACTCCAGGAAACTAAAGAACGTGTTAGATACAGCTCAAAATAATTTAGAGCAGACTCTGTGATATAAGAAATTCAAGAGAAAATGATGAGACAAAAGAAAATGAAGGAAAGCTGACAAAGTTAAGGGGAAGAAACTAAGGAAAACACAAAAGCATTATAGAAATGAAAAACAAATTAGAAGCAACAAGAAATGAATACAATAGAAAATAAAGTCATCATGAAGGACAGATTTGAGGAAGTAACACAGAAGCGAGAAAGATAAAGGCTAATAGAAGAAAGACGTATTCGTGGAGAGCAGATGATAAATATCTAACGTACACATCATCGGTGTTCCTGCATAAGGACACCGAGCTAATGAACCAGAAAAATATTAGTCACGTGCTAGAAGAAAATTCTCCTGAAGTAATGTAAATGCAAAGGATTCTAACGTTCCAGAGAAAAGTAACAAGAGAACTGAGGCTGAGGCGCCCTGCTGAATGTAAATGACACAAAAGGGAGGAGGAAGATGTCACCCGGCAGCGGAGGCAGGGGGTGGGGGCGGGGGGCGGCCGCCGTGGTGGGCGACCCTGGGCCATCACCCCTCCCCGCGGCTGTCGGGGGCAGTGCAGGAATGACAGAGGACCCTGAGTGGGAGCAAGGTGCCCAGAGGATTCCTTCCTTTGCTGGATGTTTACAACTAAAGGTAAGAGGAAGGCACTGTCCGCTATGCAAGAATCAGGAAGTTTAGCCTGTATGCACCCTTGCCGCTCCCCTAACCAAGCCGGTGGGACACCCGCTCCTAGGTGGCTGCCTCAGCTTCCTGGGCCACCGCCTCTGGCAGGACACCCCCGAGTCCTCCTTTTCCCACTGGTGTGACCTGGGCTCCTCGGCCGCCCCTGCATCTCCCCCAGACCCCAGACGGTGGCCAGCTCCTGGCCAGAGCCAGCGCTGCCGACTGAACGGCCTTTGCTGTCCCCACGGCGGGGGGGGGGCGTTTGCTGATTTCCAAGTGTCTACATTTGTGCCGTGCCCTCTAGTTCACGTCAGTGGAGGAAGGACCGCGCTCGACACCAGCCAACCCTGCATCGGAATGAACGGCTAACCGTTTGGGGAAAAAGAGGTCGGCTCATGCCCCAGACGCACACCAAAATAAACACCAGTGACGTCCAGATCTCCAAGGGAAAGACAGGTGTAGAAACAATAAAAGAAAACCCTCATTTTCCGCACCACAGCCCCACGGGGAAGGAAAGACTCGGGGGAGCGTTCCCAGTTTACAGGCGAGGGCGCGCAGGTCCGGCGAGGCGGCGCGCCCGGGACTGGGGCCAGAGCTGCAGTCCGGGCCCTCGGGGCGAATGGGGTGGCGGGTGGGAACGGGGCAAGAGACCCTCCGCTTCAGAAACTCGCGAGGCCTGAGAACTGGAAGCCCCCGGAGGGGCGGAGCACACTCACCTGTTGGGCCTGGCGCCCATGTGGTTCAGCAGGTTCGCCTGATCCAGGTCTCGCGGGAAGCCGTGCAGCACCCACCCTCTCTGGACGCAGTCGTACTGGCTCAGGCGCTGGCTCAGCACATTCGCGACGATGCTGTCGGGGACTGAGAGGAAGGGCAGGGATCAATCACTCTGCCGTCCGGGCCCCTCTGCCGACCCAACACGGATGTGAGGGAGGGTCTGCGGCCCGTGGGCCTCCTAACTGGACTTGACCACAGGCTGAACTAGCGAGGAGTCGGCTGTAGGTGGACAAGACTGAGGCCACCTGTTCCCAGGTCCCCAATCCATGGTCCTAGTGAGGCAAGAATGCGGTTGCCTGAGATGGGTCAAGGGTGACCTTGACCTTTCCCTGACCTAGATAAGCTAACCATGCCCATCAGCAGCCAGGGCGGTTCTCAGCCCTCCAGTAACGTGTGGGCTGTGCCCCCCGCACTGCAAGGACCGAGATGGGCAGCAAAGACTCTGCAGACGCGCACCAGGCCCCGCTGAGGGGAGGGGGTCTCGGGGGCCTGATGCCCTCCCCGGCACCCCTGGCCCGCTCTGTCCCCACTCTCCCCCCACACTCCCCCACCGCCGTCGGGACCACGTCGCGGAGCATCTCAGCGCGAGCTATAACCGGAGCCTGGGATGACGTCTCGGGAAGATGACACAGGGAGAAGTCTCTTATTTACATTCCACATTTGACATTTTCCTGAAATCTTTCTCTCTCTTCTCAGATCCATTAAATGTCCTATGTTGCTAATGTACTGCGTTCTAGCAATTTGCTCTGCATTTCCTGCACTTTGCACTCGTTTTTCCAGAAATACTTGGTAAATATTACCATATTTGCGGTGAACGGGGGCCCCACGAGAGCTGGCTCCCGGGCCGGCGGTGACGGAGGCGTGGCGGCTTCTCGGGAGGTGCCGGTCCCCCCGCAGCACCCACGGCGCAGGCACACGTCTGAAACCTCCCCAGAGGTCCCCAGGCCGGCAGTCCAGCGAGCACCGGCGAGAGGCGCAGAAAACCACCGCCACCTGCCTTCCTCCGCGGCCACGACACACGGGCTGCCCCCCCATCGCCAAAGAGCCGTAGCCTTGTTCCAAGTCACCTGCATGCCCCTCCATTGATTTTTTCCTTAGGCCTCTCAGCCTTCCATTCCCAGCCCCCGGGGGGAGCAGGACAGGGGTCTCCCCGAATGAGAGCATCTGTCTGCAACGTCACAGGAACGGGAAGTCACACGGCTACCCCGCCTCTCCCCCTGCTTCGAGCTGCCGTGGCTCCCCAGCGCTCTGTCCTCTCCCCCATGGCCAGCCGGGCCCAAAACGTCCGATGATCCCTGTCTCCCTCCAGGGGACCGTCCCCCAGGCCTTACCTCCCCTTGAATGCCCAGGCCCTCCAGCCAGAATGCAGCCTCGGCCTCGGCCCCCTCCAAGGCTGGCCCCCGCCGGGGTCAGCCCTGGGCTTCTCCCTCCCCGTCACCACTATCTTTCTCTGCACTGTCTGCCTCTCACGAAGGATGGCAGGTCCCCAAAGGCAACGGACCAGGCCTCCCTCGCTTCTGCAGGAGGGACACAGCACCGGCATGCAGCGGTCAGGGAAAGGTCAAGGTCAAGGTCGCCATTGACCCATCTCAGTGGGACAGAGAGAAAGGTCTTTTCAAAAGCGCTGCTGCAACCATGCAAACGTGTTCAAACTGGCCTGAGCTGCCTGTGGGGAGCCCCGGTGGGGGCCGGGGGGCATGGCTCGGGAGCGTCTCAGCGCTGCCCTCCTGCTGGCTGGCCACCTGCGGGCCGCTCAGCCTCTCCGGGCCTCAGCTCCCTCGTTCCCCACAGAGAGTGGCAGACCGTCTCCACGGAGCCAACACGACATCCAAAGCCCCAGGCCTGCGGAGACGCTCGCAGATGACGGCTGGAGCCTTCGGACGCAGGAGGTGCGTGCCGGGAGACGAGGTCCCACCAACGTCCTTGCGTCGGCCCCGTGGTCCGGGTGTTCTGAGCGACGGGGCTGGCCCCTGGGATAAAGGGTGGCGGACTTCTGTCCCCAGTCCCCTGGCCACACCCCAGGGGCTGTTCCCGTGGGCTCCCCTCCGCTGCCCAGGGCAGAGGCTGGGAGCAGGCACACGTTTTCGGGGTTCCCCCCACTCCCGTGTGCAGGGGGCACACCGGCTGCGCCACAGCGCCACCGCCCCCACCCCGAGGCACTGGGACGCGGGCGCTGGCACGAGACGCCGTGAGAATGAAAAGCAGGTCTGTTCTCTGATTCGGAAACCTCACGTCTTCTGCCAGGGTCAATAACTAGAGATGAAAACCAACGCGGACGAGAACTGCCACGCTCCTTTCAGCCCAGGCCCACCCCCAGATGCTCACAGATATCTCCACCAATGAGAAGCTGCTACAGAAGCAGCCTTTCCCAGGGACCCGTCCCGTGGACAGGGACCCGGACACCTGTGCCGGGCCAGCACCGCGTCCCCACCGCGTCCCCACCGCGTCCGCACCGCGCCCCTCAGCCCGTCCTGCACCACGCCCCTCACCGCGCCCCGCACTGCGTCCCACACTGGGTCCAGTACCTTGTCCCCCACTGTGGGTCCCCCCATGGCAGCCGGCTGGTAGGAGGCCAGGCCCCGCCCTCCTCAGGCTGATGGTCCAGCGGGGCAGCGGACCACCTGCGGACTAGGGAGCATTTCAGAGGCACAAACACAAGGGGGAAGCAAAGCGTCCGGGAGGCGGCCGGGGCCCGGGGCCTGGCCACCTGTGAGGAGGCCACATGGGAGACCTGCACAGGGCGGGCGGCCGAGAGGGTGCCGGGGGCCCAGCCCACGGATGGAGAAATGGAGAGGGGGCCGGGGGGCTGCAGCAGAGGCGTCGGGGGGCAGTGAGGGGGAGGCCCAGGCGGGCCCTCAGGAAAGAAGGGGACGGGGGCCACACCCGGCCACCGTGGTGGCTACACACTGACCCTCGGTGCGGATTTCCTGAGCGAAGCCGCGGGGGTTGTCTCCACGTCCACAAAAGCGAAGCTTGCTGTGCGGGGTCAGCCAGCACAGTCACCACCGGGGGTCTCGGGCCCCAGGGACGTGGCCGGCCCATGGCACACACAGCTTTCCAAGTGGCCCCGGCCGCCTCCCGAGGGAGACGTGGACCCTCCTGCAGACATACAGACCTCGGGCTGAGGCCCCCGAACACGAAGCAGCTGCGAATAGCTCTGGCTCCCCAGGCTTCTAAAAGGAACCCATCCTCCGTGGACCCACCAGCAGGCGCCCGCCGAGTGCCGGGAGTCCTGGGCACCAAGCGGTGCGGCCAGCCCCGGCCGTGCCTGCGGGGCAGGCCGCTGAGGCACCGAGCTCTCTGCGCCCCTCTGCACCTGGCTCCGCCTGTCTCCCGCTCCCGGCAGGTCCACCCCAGCCTGGCACCGCGGCATCTGCCCAGATCTGCCCTTCTCGGGGAATCCTGGGACCGCGGCCCGGGCCCTTGCACACCTCCATCAGTGTTGATGCTGACAGCTCTCCGTTCATGGGGCCTCGGAGTCCTCCCCCGGCATAGAAGGCTCTAGAGAGCACAGGGTCTCCTCTGTGTTCCCCCGCCAGGCCCAGGGTCCAGGGAACCCTTGGAGGACCTGCCTGCCTTTGAGGAGGCCAGCGACCTGGCCAGCGAGCATCTGCCCAGGCATGAGGCCGGCCCGGGCTGGGGCCGAGGCTCCCCCACCCTGAACCTCCCGCAGCGGGCTCGCTGCTCACCTCTCTGCCCGCGGGATGTGGCCCACTGTCCTGGCCCTGGGGGTTGGACGGCCTGCAGGGCGCAAAAGCCGCTTTCGGGGGCGGGTCTGGCCCGCAATGTTCCGCGGGGAGTTTTGAGCGGCCCTAACAGGGCCCTCCATTCACCCTCGATCCTCCGCACAGACAGAGGTTCCCCAGGAGGCTGACGTCTTTCTCCATTAAGTCGGGTGCCTCGGGCTGATTCCCGGCCCTCACAGCTAGCGTCGCGCCGGCTGCTGCCGAGGGTGCCTCTCCGGAACGCCCTGCCAACCCTAAGTTCAGCAAAGCGCAAGACATGAACACTGCATCCTTTCACGAGGCCACGCCACGTGTTTCAGGGCCTTTTCCCCTTTCCCCTCTCAAGAGCTCCATAAAAGACGTCAGGGCTCGCACAGACCTCCAGGTTATCAAAACCTCAACCCCTTTATTTCCTGCCAGCAGGGGGCGCTCGGCACAGGGGACAGCACGAGCCTCGAGGGAACTGGAGGCCTTCCAGGTAAAGGCTCGGGCGCCTGCCACGCTCCCTCCTGCACAACACAGTCAGCCCTGCGTGAACCACACCCCTGAAAGGACCAGACGGGCCTCTCTTCTCCCTCCTCAGCCCAGTCCCCCTCCAAGGGCTGGGGCTGGCGTGGGAGTTGGGGGGCCCAGCTCCCCACGTGCCAGTAGAAGGGCTCTGCGGGGCGGGGTGGGGGCCTCCTCCGGCCGGGCTCAGTGCCTTCCTGCGCCCGGCCCAGCAGGTAGGGCCCTGACCTGGGGCTCGGCTGGGGAGGGAGGGGCACGAGCGGCGAGAGGCAGGAAGCGGCTGGAGTTGGTCCCGGAAGGCCAGGAAGAGAGTGGAGAAGAGGAAATAGCTCCGTCAGGCGGAAAAGACCCCGGGTTGATTGACAGGCCCAGAGGAAGCGATTTAACCCTCTTCCCACCCCGGGGCAAGTCAGGATAAAGCTGAGCACCCCCCCCCCACCACATCCCTGCACAGCCTCAGAAACCCCCCTGCGCACTGCACACCTTGTGCACACACACCTGTTAGACACGCGCACGCACAGCCTCGCCCTGACCTACGGCAGCCCTCACACCGCACACACATCACACACCCACTGCACGGTCTCTGTGCACGCTCTGCGCCTGTGCGTCCCCACGCCCACCCGCGCCCACCCCGGTCCATGCCCCACCCCCACCCATACATCACACGCGGCTACTGCCCCCCACACACCCATGACTGTGCCTGCAACTTCCTTCCTTCCTCCAGTCCCCTTGAAACCAAGGTAAAGGTGACATCTGTCCACCTGTCAGGTCCGTGGAGGACTCGGGGGTCTGGGTCTCTTCCCCGTTCCCAACGCCTACGGGGTCCTGCCCGCACCTGGAGGGCCCGCGGGA